GAGTGAAGTCGCATTGCAAAACATCGGATATGTATCCGATTTAGGACCACATATGAAAGTGGCCTGGGCCGGATTTGAAAAAAAAAATCGGATTTGTGCTGTTCACACTGTCATAAGGAAATCGGATATGGGTCACATTTGGGCAAAAAGATCGGATTTGAGCCACTTCAGCCTGCAGTGTGAACGTGGCCTAACTATGCTAGCAAACAAACTCATACAACATGCAGTGTGAGCCTCAGAGTGACAAGTGCCAACCAACTGCTGCATTGACTCCTGTGTACACAGGATTAGGCAGGTGATCATGATGTTATGGCTGATCTGTGTGTGTATGTGTGTGTGTGTATATATATATATATATGGGAGGCCTGTGGTATTATCGTAGCTTGAGACCTTTACAAAGGAAAAAAAAAAAAAAGAAGTCAAGTCCAGTTAAAGGGCTCCCCCCGGCTAGTTAACATTAATAATAAACAGCTACAACTATGCAGGAAAAAGTAACGGAGTTTGTTATCTTACATGGAAACTATAACATGTAGTTTTACATAACTAAAGAGGTAACTAAATTAACCTAATCACTTGGCATATTACTACTCGATGCAGTTGTGGACAACAACATGGCACCTAGCAGTGTCCGTAGGCTCTCTCATGCTTGGAAAGGAACGTGTGCGGGTTATTCAGATGGCTGCAGTCTGCAACCTCATTGCTAAATGCCATTAAATCTTACACACTACACCTTTAAATTAATTTGCAAACCAGGTGTATCCCCATTGTACCTCATCTCCAACCATATTCCACAGATGGACCAGTGGGAGGCCTGTGGTATTATCGTAGCTTGAGACCTTTACAAAGGAAAAAAAAAAAAAAAAGAAGTCAAGTCCAGTTAAAGATTAGATTTGAGACAACGGAATGGTTCAGTGAGGAATGTGGTACACAAGTGTCTCGAGTTGTGGTCGATACAGATATATTAAATTATGCAATCTTATCTTTATTTTAGTTTATTTACCTGTGCAAGCAACGCCACTCCTCTGGTCATCTCCTCCAAAGCCAATATTGCCTCAGGTGAAAAATGGTCATCTCCTGACAAAAGACATTTTAATTATATGGTCAGACAAAAGATGAATAGTTGCAGCCATCCAATATCTGCAGGATTCACTGAGCATAATTTTCACTTTAAGATATATTTTGAGGAAAAGGAGAACAAAACTAAACCATTTAACATTAAAGCACCACTGAAAGAACAAACAAAATTAATTAGATGCACTTCATATAGTCTGAATGGCCAACAGTCTAACAAACTAGCTCTGTCATTGTTAATCAGTGTTGGGTTCTTACCTGCAAGTTTTAAATTTATGTTTCAACACAAATAAATGTTGTACCTGGAAGCGGAGCAATGTTGTCGAGCAAAACTTCAGCACCTTGAAATGGTAGTGTTACAAAATCAGACCTGGAAAATAAACAGGGGAAGCCTGTATAAGACAACCAATGTAAATATATCTCATAACCTATACACTTAGACACATATGGTAGTTGCAACAATTTTTTGTTTTACAGATGTAGACATTCAAATACTTGTTTTTGGCAGCCTGTTTTAATTTTAGTTTTAGTGAAGCTGTCATTTTAGTTTTTATTAGTTTTAGTCACGTTCATACTCTTTTTAGTCTAGTCAAGTTTCAGTCAACTAAAAGTCTTGAGCATTTTAGTCTTATTTTAGTCAGAATTATCCATGACTATTTTCATCTAGTTTTAGTCAATGAAAATTGTATTTTAGTCTCTTTTTAGTAATGCAGTTCTATTTAACCCAGTCAATATAGTACAAGTACCTAGTAGTATAGGAAAAAACAAAATTTTCTTTTAGCCAAACCCATTTCAAACAAGGTTATCTTATTATATTATTGTTACCTTATAGACTCAAGAATAATCCAATACACATTTTGTGTCATTTTGGGGTCGCATTTATCCCCATCTTTTTCCACAACACATTCCATTTTCTTTTCCACTTCTATGTAATGAAAGTTTTTCCAAATGTTGTTTCTTCTTTTTCTCCCAAAGATGAACCCTTGCTGGCCGGCCATCTGCCCCTTTCTCTGTGTCAGACTTAACTATGTTTGTTGTCGTCTTCTAAATAATGGCATGATTGGGGCTTAAGGAAGTGACGTTGCCTGCGTCTGCGCAGTGCAACCTGAAGCAAGACACAGGAAACAAAAATACTGCAAAATAATAATAGTAACGCAACCAAATGAGACAAAATAACGTTATAACATTTTGGTTTGTCTCATTTTGGTCAACGAAAATGGAGACATTTTAGCATAGTTTTTATTTTGTAAACCACATTTAGTCTCGTTTTTTGTCAACAATATTGCATAATACATTTAATTATAGTCATTGTCACATGACCAGCATTTTCGTTGCGGCTCATCTCGTTTTCGCTACGTGATAAAGGTTCGTTGATGACACTATTTAGTCATAATTTTTGTTAACAAAAGCAACATTACATTCAAAGTGTCAGACTTGCACTCCACATTATGTCTGTGGTGCCCTGATGGTGGCATTGTCAGTAATGCAGCATTTTTAACCCCTCAGCAGGCTTGTAAAATCCAACCTGCAGCTTTCCTTTTTGCCACCAGGTGTCTTTTGCAAAGCCTAGTATACTGTTTGTGTATGCACAAACAGCATATAGTATGCTTCTGCACCAGGCACTGCACCAGGTGAATAAATACCTCCGCCAAGGGTGGAGTCATGTTGTTGCTGGTGTCTGTTGGTTTGTTTCTTTGATTTTTAACAATCAAAAAATAATGAACAGATTTTTATTTAATTATTATTGGCATGAACTATGCATGAGCTTCTAACTTCAAGCTGTGTGTGACCCTCTATGGTATTTCACCCTCACCACAGGGCATGGTGACATAATCTGGCAAAGGCAATGTGTTGATCAATCACCTATGGGGAATGATCGGGACATGGACAGCCACGGGAAGAAGACTTTTTTGTTTACCTTGTTAGCATGAGCATTTACTGCTCTTCACTGTTGAATCTGGGCCACAATTACTGCACCATAATGACATGCTATGAATTTTCATTAGTGCTGGATGTTAAATTGTGTTTTTTTTAATCTATAAATGTAGACACACTGCTGGAAGAATTGGTGCTAATGTAGAGTAGGCTACATTAGCAGCATGGCTAACCAAAACACAATGGAAAATCAGGGGCTTGTAACATGAATGAAGGATAATAAGGATAAGGATAATCACCTTTATTGGCCAAGTATGTTACACACAAGGAATTTGTTTCCGGTACAGAACCGATGGCAGCCATCTGCTGCGCCACCTTAACCGACGGCTCTAACCATCTGGGGCAACGGGGGGGTTCAGTGTCTTGCCCAAGGGCACTTTGACACGTGGACTGCCGGCACCGCGATTTGAACCTTCAACCTTCTGGTTGGGAGATAACTGCTCTACCCATCGCACCACTGTCGCCTCCCCAACGTGGCCTTATTGTGTGCATCTAGAACACTCCCCCTGCAACCCCTCACTCCCAAACCAACACAGCCCTGTGCATTGAAACACAGCAGGGAGTTGTGCTTTTTGCCATACTAATGTGAACGTACATCACTCTGCCGTCACACTCCGTCTCACTGGCTGCTGCTCTGGTTGTGTTATGTACTGATAGAGAAATTGCTTTTGCCTCAATGAGAAATATTGTCACTTTTTAATATGGTACAACATGTCACCACACCCCCACTAATACAGTATTGCTGCAGGTAAAAGGAGGCAACTAAAAGGAAAAATTATCAAAGCTTTAATAGAATACAAAAACTAAATATAGAGTAAATTTCAATCTAGCAATATAGGAGGCATGGGAAGGGTTTAATACATTAATGGGCAGGTACAGTAAGAAAGTTCTGTTAACAACAGCAAAATCTTTGTTAATGTCTTAATGCAGTTTTTGGTAGATTTAATACAGTGGATGGCAAGCTGGAGTGTGAAATAATTTGTAAGAACCTACTTATAGAGACATCAATAGTTATCAAAGAGAACAAGGTAGCTGCAGTCATTGTAGACCAGCGGTTCCCAACCTTTTTTGTACCACGGACCGGTTTCATGCGTGAAAATGTTTCCGTGGACCGGGTAGAGGCGCGGGGGTTCCAATAACAAAAACATTTGTCAGTTCATAGTATGTAATCTGAATGCAACAATTACACTTTATATTAGGCAATTACAGTAATTCCACACTATATCAAATCACCATGGTGTTTCCGGGTTGCAAGCGAGAGCGGACGTTTTTTCTGCTCCTCTTGTCTGTTCTGGGATTCTCATATCTGTTTCATATTTTCTACACTTTCAAGTTTTGGAAAAGTCTACATCTTGAAATGGCTCCTAAAGGGAAAAGAGCAAATAGATCTGAAGCTGCTGAGGAAGGCGAAGTTGAAGAGAATTTTGCTGCGGACTTGTCGGAGCAGAAACGTCTTTTCACTGCGCTGGTGAATCAGCTCAGCGACAGTTTTAAGGGATTTGTGCAAATGATTATGGATACGAACAACAAGAGATTCGACGAAATGACCAGAGAGATACAGGAAATAAAATCGAGTCTGCAGTTTACTCAGCGTGAGGTCGACGCGATCAAAGTTAACATGGATGAGCAGTCAACGCAGATCAAAGCTACGAGAGACGGACTGTATGAAGCCTGTGATTTCCTGAAAGTTATGTCGGATAAGGTGGAATACTTGGAAGCACAAACCAAGCGGAAAAACTTGATATTTGCTGGAATTCAGGAGGCAGCCGGAGAGACCTGGAAGGATGCGGAGAGTAAAGTGAAGGAGGTTCTAAAGAACAAGTTGGACATACAGCAGGACATTGCGATGGAAAGGGCTCACAGAGTCGGAAAAAACAACGAACGCGGTCCAAGGGCAGTGATGGTAAAGCTGATGAATGAGAAAGACAAAACACTCATTCTGCAGCAGGCTAAAAAGCTTAAAGGTTCTA